TTATGAGACAAGTATAGTAGCTAAGCTAGGAAGCATAGTCTTTTATAGTTTACTTTGTGAAGACTTATACCAGTAGCTTTTTAATGTTTTATTATCATTAAAATTATGTTATTAAAAACTATTTTGAAAAGAGTGGCAACTCCAAAGAACCTTATATTTTCTTCCTTTTTCTCCCTTGCACTAATTTTTGACTTCCACAAAACACCTGGTAAAGAACGGAAACCCATGTAGCCAAATACCAAGGAGTTGAATCCTAGAAAGCTCTGCCCCAGTTCATAGGTTTTTGGGTGCAACAAGACAGCAAAATGGGGCAGGCAAGAAGGCTGCATTTATGGCACAAAATGGTTCGGCAACAAACAAGCTGCTTGATGGAGAAAAATGTGCAGCGACAAAGACTGCATTAATGGAAAAAAAAGTGCAGCAAAAAAAGCTGCATTACGGAAAAAATTGACATAAAATGCAAATGCAAATGCAAATGTGAATGCAAATGAAATGTAAATGGAAGCTGAAATTAGTCAACAAAAGTGCATCAATGTGATAGTTTTTCAATGTACTTTTATGTCGGTTTATGTATTACAATCTTTGATTTAAATTTTAGATTAGATTTTGTAGAAAACATGTCATAAAGCATGAAAAGTAGGTAAAGAACACTATTTTTATGTTGAAAGTTTTTGCTATAAATGGGCAGAGATGTTAATGGAAATGTGAGAGTTGGACAACAACTTCTCCTCTCCTCTCCTCGATTGGGTGAATGTCTGCACCTTGAAGGGTAGGGTTATGGTCAACACCCAGAGTGTTAAGGCACCAAAAATGGTAAAATATTATCTTTAAATGTATTGATTTTGTTTAATTTAATTAATAATAATAGTTAATGATAATAATTATTAACTAATAATTAATAAAACAATTGATATTTGTTAATTAACAAATTAAAATCAGTAAACAAACTGATATTTTCATACACTTTTTAAGAAAAAATTTAAAAAATTGGTAGTCTTAACATTTTCGCGGTGGCAGTGACAACACCCCTTCCATGACTATGCCAAATTCATGTTCTAAGTTCTTCTCCTCCAACCTCTTCCAAAACTCTAACAGTATCAAAATGTTATCCATGTAGGGGCTTTTTTGGTTAGAAGGTAAAAAAATCTTTATTGAAAAAATAGTTGCAAAAGTACTTAAAAAAAAAAATCAATTTTATATCAAAGTTTTGTTTAAGTATTATTTGAATGAGAATCTTATTTTATAATTTAGACTATACTAGACAATAAAACAAAAACTATTGGATGAGAGGAAATCACTAATATGATAGAGTCAAATCCTCATCTAATGGTTAGAGTTGTGTAGTTTAATATAATCCATATTAGACAATACTTTTTCCTACGTGAGTTGTCACCTTTTGATATATTTTGTAAAAAGTTAATATTTAAAGAAAGTTAATGAAAAGATTTCAAGTAAATCCCCCAGTTAGGAAAGTTGGGGAATTTTTTTTTTCTTTGAAGTTTTGAGAAGAAAAAATTGTATATCAAGAATTTGTTTTAGTATTAAAGTATAAAAATGCAAAAATCAGCATAGTTCAGATAGAAATATCCTCAAGAAAAATCAAAATTTAGAGAGGATGTCAAACAACAAATACAAGCAGGTGTTTCAGATGGTTTTAGGCATGAAATCAACGAGAAACAGGAGGAGAACTGGAGAAGCTTTGAGTTTCAGCTTAGATTCTGCCAAATATTGCGTAGATGAATCAAATTAGCATAAAGTAAGCTACTTGACTTCATTGCTTCTATGCATGCTACAAGATATATGCTGCGTCTCATAATGTGAGCAATCAAAGCATGTTCAGATGAATGACTTATAAAAAAATTCGTGAGGAAGCAAAATACCATAAATCACAGACTTGTTATTCCTTACTTGCAAATTAACAACGTTTATATTTAAACATTTTTTCCAACATGTTTTTACTTGTTTGAGATTCTAAGACAATCATAAAGCAGTACAGGGGAAATAGCATATATTTTCCCACAATCTGATCAGAACTCTGATTCTTCCAATCGATTGAAGAAGAGACCAGAAGGGGCACCATTTGGCAGCAATGCCAATCTCACAGGACCTTGAGCACCTTCCTCAACAGTCAAGACTCCAGTATTATAGTTTATATCAGTTTTGACAAAGCCAGGACAAACACAATTAATGCAGAAACTGGGGTGTTTCTTAGCCAAAATCCTTGTATAGGCATTCATGGCAGCTTTGGATAGTGTATAGGCAGACATAAAAGCAGGCCACCCTTGAGCTTTTAGTGATCCCTCTTTAAAATCTTTCAGATATTTGTTCAATACTTCATCCACTCTCTCTTCTGTAAGGTTTTCAGCATCACTTAAGATCGTTTTCGCCCATTCATTTGATACATTCTGAAATAGAATCATGAAATCAACTTAATATCCATCAAGTGACTTAAGTCATGCTTGGGAAAAAAATGATAGCAGAAAACTTTTACCTATAACCTCCCCATGGAGGAAGAAACGTTAACAATTCTTGGTGAATCAGATAACTGGAGGAGGGGAATAAATGCTTCACACATCATTTTGGAACCAAAGTAGTTTGTTTTAAGGCATTCTTCAGCCAACTCATAGGTTTCAGTTATGAGTCCCCTCCAGTTGATTTGTTCACCCGCCTGCATCTGAATTGATAAGAAGAAAACTAAACCTTGCAATCCATGCAATTACTCTCAAAAGAAAATTGTGTTTGACTAGTTTTTTTGCTTTCTTTGTGGGAAAGAAATCAAAGGATTATATGAAGAAGATTTACCTTACTGACAACAGCATCACGACCTGTTGCCGCACCACCAATTCCCGCATTGTTCACCTGCACACGATAATTGGGGGATATGAAAATCATTCAGCAGTCATTTCATATTTCTTATGAATGAAAAATATTAGAGAATTTAAGTGATACCAAGATATCAAGCTTTTCAAATTGCCTCTTGACAAAATCTGCTGGAGAAGCAATAGTTGCAGGGTCTGCGACATCAAGCTGATGAAAAACTATGTATTCAGAGAGACCAGATTCTTTGAGCTTTTCAACAGCTTCCATACCCCTCTTCTCATTTCTAGCTGTCAAAACTACAGTCACCCCATGTGAAGCCAACTGCTTGCATATTTCCAAACGAATACCTTTGTTTGCCCCAGTAACAACTGCGTACCTGAAAATGAAGGGAAATAAAAGAAGAATTAG